CATAGGAACAATGGGAACAGAAAATACACTTAAACATAAAAGTCCTTGGATCTTAAAACTAGAAACAAAAACCAAGAACATGTTACATAGCCACGATAAACAACACTAATTTTAGCAGTTTATTACATTAAATTTCTATTTCTGTTATTTTTCTCTCTCTGAAATTCAAAATCTGCCTCCTTGAGTAATTCATCCTTGCGCTGATATGTTTTCCAAATGTTGTGACAGTACGCTATCTATACTTTGACAGTTTTCAATTGATTGTGAAGGATTTTCTGATTAGCATGGTTTATGTTAATCATAATTAAACCTATAGACGATTGAAACTATATTCCGGGGACCTTGATGACAGAAAGAAGTTCCTCTTACTGCAGCACAAGCAACACTTGCAGAGCTCTTATACACACACAGACCGTAAACCCAGGAGTTTCGTTGGTTCTGCGGTTTGCCAATACCGCTGTCTGAAAACACCCACATAATGAATCACCACATGAAATGCATGAGAGGTAACATTTCACTGAGAATGAAAGCGGGGCCATGGAATGGCATACTGGCACTGACTGATCCAAGTTTTTAGATTTGTGAACAATCAATGAAATTTTAATGCCTCGGTCCAGAAATATTCCAGTCCATGCTTTCCAGCTGACCTACGTAAGGTGTCAAACCAATTTCTTGGTCCAGTTCAGGTGCGTGAATTGTCCTTGCTGTTTTTAAAGCATGGTCTCTGTTCTCCAAACACTTCTTTTGACTTTCTTCATGTTTTTATTTTCCCAAGTGAATCGCTCCACTTTAATGATGATGAGAAAAGCGTGTGGTCCAGTAGAACGTTACGCACGTTTCTAATTCACTCACAATCTCCTCTTTACAGAATTCATTATGACAAAGCCCAGGTGTGTCGAGAGACCAGCTTCTCTTTATTCAGATCTGGACCTGGACAATCAGTCACATCAACCCACTTCTGAGTGACTTCATCACAAACTTCAGCTTCAATTTTTTTTTATTCTTCTGTTTTATGTAATCTTTAAACCTCTTTTCTCCCAGTATTGTGTTTCCAGATGAGCTTTTCCCAGACCTCTTTCTGCCCATCAGAAGAATCCGGATCACTGGATCATCTGGACTGGAGCTGCTGATTGCTGACTGAAAGAGACAGCACATATAGAATATGAATGTAAAAATAAGGCAAAGTCAAGGCTATAGTTATTTCACAAGTTTAAGAGCAGAATAAAAGGCGGTTTCTCACCAGGAAGTGTTTCAGTTCTAGTCGCCATTTTCACTGAATCTGATCACAGCATAACAGAGCCCATGAAGATCTTATATTTGTAATGTATCATAATAACTAAAAAGCAACATATGTGCATAAAACACATTGTTGCGGGAAATATAATCTCTCCAGGAGTCGAGCTGCTGTTCAGAGTTGTTCAGTTTCACTTTCGGTTCCACGTGATGCAATTAGTGTTGTTTTTGGCGGCCTGTTTTAATTTTAGTTTTAGTCTAGTCTTTGTGTGAAACTGTCATTTTAGTTTTTATTAGTTTTAGTCACGTTCATACTCTTTTTAGTCTAGTCAAGTTTTAGTCAACTAAAAGTCTGAGCATTTTAGTCTAGTTTTAGTCGACGAAAACTGATGACATTTAGTCTAGTTTTAGTCAATGAAAATTGTATGGAGCAGGAGACCTCCACGGCGAGCCAAACCGATCAGGAGACCATGGCAGGGACTGTAACAAAGAGAGCAGAGACAGACAACACAGACAGAACATTGGGTGTGATAGACAAGGCTGAGTGTTCAGAGGCAGCCTCCTTGGCTGGGTCGGGACAGGAGAAAAGTTCATAAATGGCCTCCGTAGCCATGACAGGACAGGCAGAGAGTTCACAGACGGTCTCCATGGCCGTGACAGGACGGACAGAGGGTTCACAGACGGCCTCCATAGCCGTGACAGGGCAGGACGAGGATTCACAGACGGCCTCCTTAGCCGTGACAGGACAGGCAGAGAGTTCACCGACGGCCTCCATAGCCGTGACAGGACGAGACGAGAGTTCACAGATGGCCTCCATAGCCGTGACAGGACAAGCAGGGAGTTCGCAAACGGCCTTTATAGCCGTGACAGGACGAGCAGGGAGTTCGCAAACGGCCTCTATAGCCGTGACAGGACAGACAAAGAGTGGCCGATTCAGGGCTGGACGTAAGTTCACAGACAGCCTCTGCGGCCGGGTTGAGACAGGACAATTGTTCAGTAACCATGACAGGCATGACTGGGGATTCAGAAATGGTCTCCTTGACCAGTGCAGGACAGGACAATAGTTCATAGGCCGTGACAGGACAGGCTGGAAGTGCGTTACGGGGCGCCACCACCGTGCAAGGAGCTGAGACGAGCACCGCCACCTCGGGAGGTTCTGCAGCATGGGCCGCCACCTCTGGAGGAGCTACAGCGGACACCATCGCCTCGGGGAACATGGCAGCGTGCGCCTCTACCGTCTCTAAAGTTTCAGTGGTGGTATACACAGCCCAAATACACCATAAAGCGATCCCCATTGTGGGAAGCGCTACAGACAGGGGAAACAGTTCAGGAACTGGAGGGCTTAAGAGTGCTGGTTTAGGGATACCAGCTGCACTTGCCGACACCAGCGGTGGGTCCTCCACGCTGGATGCCAGTCTGGGATACTGAAGTACAGTCCTTGAGGATCTGGGTGCAACAGGCAGGACGTGACGTGACTCTGGCAGATCAGCTGTGACGTGACGTGACTCTGGCAGATCAGCTGTGACGTGACGTGACTCTGGCAGATCAGCTGTGACGTGACGTGACTCTGGCAGATCAGCTGTGACGTGACGTGACTCTGGCAGATCAGCTGTGACGTGACGTGACTCTGGCAGATCTGTTGTGACTTGACTTGACCCATGAAGATCTGTTGTAACTTGACTTGACCCATGAAGATCTGTTGTGACTTGACTTGACTGAAGATCTGTTGTGACTTGACTTGATTCATGAAGATCTGTTGTTACTTGACTTGACTCCTGAAGAACTACTGTGACTTGACTTGGTTCATGAAGATCAGCTGTGACTAAACTTGATTCATCATGCTCAGTTGTAACTTGAATTGACTCATGATAATGAACTGTAACTTGATTTGACTCATGACGATCCACTGTGACTAGACCTGACTCATGACGATCAGTTTATGAGTGGATCACTCACATGGGCCGTGAGCGACTGAGCGGAGTGCACACGCATAGAGCGGGATAACACGCAGAGCGTCACACCACGTGAAAGTGAATCCTGAGCGGTGAACTCATTTTCGGCAGCCGGAATTTCAGTGCATCTCTAATTATTGGCGACATTACAAATGGATATTATATAATAGCTGCTCTCGACAGACGCGGCACCCCGAGTGGGGCCTGCGTCTGCGCAGTGCGCCCTGATGCCGCTGAAGCGAGACACAGGAAACAGAAATACTGCAAAATAATAATAATAACGCGACTAAACGAGACGAAATAACGTTATAACATTTCGTTTCGTCTCGTTTTGGTCAACGAAAATGAAGAGACATTTTAGCATAGTTTTTATTTTGTAAACCACATTTAGTCTCGTTTTTTTATTCGTCAACGATATTGCATTATACATTTAATTATAGTCATCGTCACATGACCAGCATTTTCGTCTCGTCTCGTTTTCGTCACGTGATAAAGGTTCGTTGACGACGATATTTAGTCATAATTTTCGTTGACGAAAGCAACACTAGATGCAATTCTCTCCAATCACCACCTGATCCTTGTGCGATCATCCACACATCCAAAGTCGGTTGATAACAGAACTGCAATAAAGTAATAGCCTAGTTAACAATTACTTGTTTATCTGGCTGGACTGGGGTTAAAATTCGGCCCGGACAAATCCAGCCCATTCGGCCCACAAGCTCCCCCGTGAATGTTGTGCTGGGTTATAGGAGTAATTGTTACTGGAGTAAATAAATGAATTAATAAAACAGGACAGAAACAAATAATGACAGATATTACTGAATTCACGGCAAATGCAACAAACTTAATAATGCATTTTTTTGTCTGCAAATGCAAATTTACTGCTATTAAATTCTATGTCGTTCCAAACCTGTATGACTTACTTTCTTCTGTGGATCACAAAAGAAGATGTTTTGTAGAATGTTACCAACCCATTTTGGTTACCCTTGATTTCTACTGTATGGACAAAAAATTCTTGAATTTCTCAAAAACTTTTATGTTCTACAGAATAAAGAAATTCATACAGGTCTGGAATAACATGATGACAATGTACATTTGTGGGTGAACTATCTCTTTAAGAACTTTAATATTTGTAAATAGTAAACACCTAGTTTATATAAGACACTGTTATTTATCTTTAATCAGGCTCTTATTGACTCAACATTTTACTTCAACATCAAAATGAATTATAACTAAACATTTAAAGAGAAATAAGCTATTATAGCTATTTTGTTAAATTATCCTTTGCCCTAATGAAATTTACTAGAGTTCTTGCTTAGAATGAGTTTCACTGACTAGTATTAGTAATATGGTGGTCACAAAAAGTAAAAACATGGTCCTCATTACCATGGTTACATGGTTTTTCAAATAAACAATAAGTAATAATAAACTATGGAATTTGTATTAAAAAAAAAACTAGTTATGCAGAAACTTCAAAACTTTTATAAAAGTAAAATATTCCCCAGTATTTAATGAAAGTAATAACAGCAACGAATAGGCTGTAATAAAAACATTTCTACCAAAACACCATAGGCTATTTGTACAGTGTTAATAACAGCAAGTTAAATGACTATTCGGTGTGTGAAGCGGTCTTTCTCCACAACTGAATCCCATGTGAGATCAAGGGTTTTCAAAGTGTGATGCACGATTCTTTGAGTATCTCCATTTCTTTTACCCTTCATCAGTGAAGTCACATTCACCTGCTTCACATCAACCTGTGTTTTCTCCTAACAAACTTCAGCTTCATGTTTTTCATTATGAATCCATTTTCTCCCAGTACAGTGTTTACAGATGAGCCCCATCAGAAGAATCCAGATCTCTGGATCATCTGGACTGGAGCTGATCGCTGACATCTCTGAAAGAATCAGAAAATATAGAGTATGAATGCAAAAAGTTAAGTGTCATTACAGAATAAAACATTAATCTGCTTCAACACAATTAAAATGTCTCTTAACATCGTCAGTAAAAATATCCTTGTAGTGAATGTGTTCTGGATGGATCTGACATCTGAGCTTATAATGAGTTTATAATGTTTTTCAGAGGGACCAAATGAAACTTGAAAAACATGATCTCAAACTAAATAAACTCTTCACACTATGACAATCAAAAGTAATTAAATTGTTTCTTATAAACGTGTAAACGGCCAGTTTCTTACCAGAAAGTGATTCGGATCTCGTCGCCATTTTCACTGAATCGAACCATGAAGATAGTTTCTAGAAAAACAAATACACCCAAAACATAATCTCAATAAAGCATATATTTGTAATGATTTATAATTTATAAAAATAAATATATTTGAATAAAACACAAAAGTGCAGGGAATATAATCTCACCAGGAGTCGAGCTGCTGTTCAGCTTTACTTTCACTTTCGGTTTCACAGGCTTAAATCCTCTGCGCTGCAGTGACGTTATCATCATCATCATCATCATCATCATCATCATCACGTGGTTTGTAGAAGAGGCGACTTCTTTCCTGACAAGCTATTGGTAATACTACGTTCTTGTTTTTTTTTGTTGGTTGAGAACAAGAATGAGCAACAGTTCATTAAACAAACATTAAACGAATATAACAGAACTGAGAATAGGCTAAACTAATTTCAGTGTTTACAGCTACAGCTCACTGAACACCAGAAATACACGTTATAACGCACAAAAACAGCAGACACAAGCAGAGAAACATTGCTAGTTTGTTCAATAAACATTTTTCATTCTCACTAATAATAATCCAATAATGGATATTTGGCGCCACCTGCCGGACACTCAGTGAACACTAGCTCTCTTCACTCCCTACATAGACAGTTTCTTTCTTCAATGCTGACTATACAGGCAGATCAATTAAACATCAATCTTATCCTAACAACATTTTATGATATTTAAGAATAATAATTTAAAATCATATAATTTGGTACAGATTTCCTTTTTATTATACCATCAGCTGCATTATATTTACACAGAATACAGAAACATTATCAATAAACCGAGTGAATGTGCTGAAATAATGAGAGTTAAGGAGGGTTGAGATGTTTCACTGATTTGAACACAAGAACAGGGCTCTTCTGATTCTCCCAGAGCAACTTGAAGACTGAAAATGAGTGTTGAGAAGCTCATAAAATCCTTTCATCATCGTGTCAAACATCACAGTGATGTTCAGCCCTTAGTTTGAGTAAAAATCAAAAGAGATCTACAATGATCTAGTATAACTACATCTTATTGCATGTGCCCAAGATGTGGCCACATAAACAGGAAGAATCCGCCAGACTGAGAGTGATTATACTGTATGTCGGTCATTTGGACGGGGTTTTAGCACTTGTAGTTTTCCTCAATTGTCCTGTGGCTTTGCTTTGTCAAACTGCCGTCCTTTGACTGAATTAATCTCTGAATTTAATCTCAGCTTTTTTATTACTAAGAGCACCGAACACCAGGACAGCCAGCAGAGGTGGAAAGAGTACTAAAATATTCTACTCAAGTAAAAGTACTATTACGTTAATTACATTTTACTTAAGTACAAGTAATATTACCAGTCTAAAAGTCTATTCAAGTAAAAGTTAAAAGTAGCTCATTTAAAAGTTACTTAGTTCAATTTTAACAGCAGGAGGTGGCAAAAAGGGGATATAAATCTCAAACTAGTTGTTTTTAATTAAAGGAACACCTTTACAAATTAAACTGCAATAACAAAATAAAACATGCTGACACATGACATTTAAAACATTTAGGGAGGTATGTGTCATTTTAATGCAGACCATCCCACTATAATAGGCAGAAAAAGCAAGTTATATTCTGGCTACCGACAAAACAAGCTAAGAAAGGTCTATTAATTTTTTTAATGGCTTTTTAAGGATTAAAAAATCAAGACTTTACATTGGTTATTTTAATAGCATGAAAAACAAAACAATAATTATTAAAAATTACACAAAGAAAGCGAGCAAAGGACACTGAAGCGTCCATGACTTCAGTTTAATGTGAGCTAGAAATTCCCATAATCACTAAAGTAAATCAATCGCTTACATTTATTTTGTACTTTGTTGTTTATTATTATGACAGAATTTGCGAATGCAGATACAGAATTCAGTCAGTGAGTGCGCACACTCCGTAGTGACGATTTAAAAAGCATCTGATTGGACATTGCATTCATAAGCTCAACAGAATGGTGTGTGATTGGTTATAATGCTCAAAGCTGCAAACCGCGAGTAAAAAGAAATCTGATGCAACATGAGCAGAACTACTCTAAAATGTAACACTTTTTATTCTTTTCACATTACACTTAAATCGTGACCGCTGTAATAGCTACCCAGCAAACACAGTCGATGTGAGGACGTCGCCAGTTGGTCGTCATTTAGTCAGCGTGACATTATGGCAACGTCATGAGAACGCCATGGTAACATTCCATTTTTCCATTTTCCATTTTTTCTATCTTTTAGAATCAAATCAAAATAAAAAGCGCTCTCTCACCTAATAGACATTCCTCATTTTCTTGAGCACTTAAACAAAAATTAGTACACCTAATGCTTTTTGGGACTTAAAATAGACTTAAATTATCAACATGCTTACGAAAATTTACATTGATTTTATTACAGTAAAAGTGTAGAAACCTGTCACGTTGCACACATGAGGAACACGAAAACGAAGGAGTGAGCAGTAAATACATCAAAAGGGTTTTATTAACTAAAGGCTGGGGATCACAGGACTCGACACATCAGGAGAACAGAATGAGAGGTCAGCAGGGGGTGCTCACCCTGTGGTCTGTGTGGGTGCTAATGCCCCAGTATAGTGATGGGGACACAAAACTGTAAAAAGCACCGTCCTTCGGATGAGATGTTAAACCGAGGTTCTGACTCTCTGTGGTCATTAAAAATCCCATGGCACTTTTTGTAAAAGAGTAGGGGTGTAACCCGGTGTCCTGGTCAATGATTGTCCTGGTTTAGAAACTCCACCCTCTTCTGAAAGGGGAGGAGGAAGCACCAGCTCGTTTTCATTTAAAGGGACAAACACAAAAAACAGCGCGTTTTGGCTCATACCCTAAAAATGGCAATTTCAACAAGCTATAAAAAATTATCTGTAGGGTATTTTGAGCTAAAACTTCAC